AGAGGCATGAAGAAGCATTTCTGCAGGCCGGCGAGGTGAGGATGGCTGGTGTGGCAGTTTATAACTGCTGTACCAGCTATCTTCGCGTTTGGACTTTATCACCACTTAACATCAGGTGGGGTTTGACTACCCGACTATATAAAAGTTACACTATTAACTTTAGACTTTATATGTTGTTAACTGTTTACACCTCATGTGCTGTTAAATGTACTTACCTTTGAACTTTGACACGTGCAAGCATTCTACATGCATTTAATATGAATGAGGTCTAGGAAAGGTCGCGAACATTTTCAAAGTTAGCGGTGACAAGGAAGCGTGCCCAACTGCCGATCGCCCCCTGTTCTGGGCACAAGTTCCACTCAAAGTTGGAAACTGAAGTTTGAATTGAATGCAAATTAGACCGTGCGAGTATACGAAAGCAGCTAGGTACGTTAAGTGAGAAGCACTTTGTAGAATAACTACATGGTTTTTAATGTACACAAACATGTAGGAATTTCACTTACGGCCATATCAGCGACACCAGGGGGCCAATCGCCTAACTGGATTGCTTTGGAAAACGCTATCGCTTACGATTTCATTTTGTTATTTCTAGCCACCTGAGGTTTTCAAATGCCTCGCGCTCTTTTTTTTTCTTTTGCATTGGTAATAACAATGTTAAAGAAAATGAGCGTGAGGTATTTGAAAACCTTCGGCGGTTAGAAATAACAAAATGAAATCGTAAGCGATAGCGTTTTCCAAAGCAATCTGGTTAGGCGATTGGGCCACAGATTACTTTTGCGGGATATTAATAAAAAAATGCTTTTATAGCTATAAATCTGAAGGGTGGGTTACACTTAAGTATTAATCACACTAACTAGCAAACCAGTGAACCAAATGTTCACCAAAACCTGATTTCTCGAAAACCGGAAGTGCTACGTTACTCAAATCCGGTTTGTAGTCTTATCAGACTATTCTTAACTTATAACTTAAATATTCTCTTTATCTATCTCTTACGGTTTGGCCGCTGAAACAGCACCACAGACAGACGGACAGACTTGTCTAATAGATAAGAGATATTATAAAGGCGAAAGTTTGTGAGTGTGTGAGTATGTGAGTGTGTATATTTGTTACTTCTTCACGTCTAAACGGCTGGAGCGATTTTAATAAAATTTGGTATGGAGTTAGCTGACACCCTAGATTAACACATAGGCTACTTTCATCCCGAAAAAATGTTAGGTTCCAGACGGATTTTCAAGAAACTAAGTTAACGCAGTCGAAGTCGCGGGCGACCTCTAGTAATGCATAAAGCCACCCCCTTATCCCTCAATTTATCACGGAGTAGTTCTAAGACATTGTCCGGAATCAATAGTTTTGAGGTGCATCTATTGCAGCGGGCTCCAACACTCTGTTGGGTTAATGGTCACTTAAAGAGTCCGCAGCAAGTAAAGATCTCCAACATTTTCTGCATTTCATGTTTTTCTTAACATTTAATTTCTTGTTTCTTAGGTTTTCACGCACATCACTCATTAAATAAAACTAGTTTTAACGGGTAAATACACGAACTTTAACCTTTTCAGGTCTGCATCGTCAGAATAATGAATGAATATTCTGACGAACTGAAAAGGCTGCGAAACGTCAATAAATAAATAAAGTTCGTGCATTAACCCGTTAAAACTAGTTTTATTAAATTTCTTTTTTTCTCTCTTATAAATAAAAAAATATTATGGATGGCTGACTTTTCTATTTGGTACATACATTACAGCACGTATAGAAAAAGAAAAACTTGTTGAAAAAATGCTGTTGGTAAAATTCGTTTTCGAAATGTAAACTTCGTTGGTAGACGGAAGCAGTGAAAAAAAGTTTGGGAGTATCTATTCTTGTATCGAGTTACGGTTCCGGGGTGAGCGAGAGGTACTTACTTATCTGTCTGTCCGTGTTGACTGACCCCCCCCCCCTCCCCTCCCCCTGTCGGCAACATCAATCATCTTGTCACGTGTTGCTCGCCAACGACTTTTTGTGTTTCCTGAATTTGACTTTTTGCAAGTTTCTTCAAGAGGCAATGTAACTAGGTTGATATGTAACGATTAAATTTTTCACTAGTACCATGAGCGTATTCGTTTTTTACATTTATTAATGAATAGAGACCGTTTTAGCAGAAATTTAACGTAAGTGTAATTAAGTGAACCTTTACGGGAGGTGTATTTTCTCTAGTTCGGGAGGGACGCTAGTCCGGCAGGGACGTGTAGAGGGACTAAGCTTCCATCCATCGTCCATCCATCGTCCATCTATCGTCTATCCATCGTCCATCCATCGTCTATCCATCGTCCATCCATCGTCCATCCATCGTCCATCCATCGTCCATCCATCGTATATCCATCGTCCATCCATCGTCCATCCATCATCCATCCATCAGCCTTTCTCCGTCTACTGCTGGACATAGGCCTCCCCCATGCGCGGTCCTGCGCTATCCGCATCCAGCGGCTCCCAGCACATTTGACGATGTCTTTAGTCCACCTTGTTGGGGGCAGCCCCACGCTGCATCGTCCGGTACGTAGTCTCCACTCGAGGACCTTTCTTACCCAACGGTTGTCAGATCCTCGAGCGATGTGGCGTGCCCATTGCCACTTCAGCGTGCTAACTCTTCGGGCTATGTCGTACACACCGGTCCTTCTACGGATCTCCGTATTTCGGATCTTATCACGTAGGGAAACACCGAGCATAGCCCTCTCCATAGCTAAGGGCTAAGCTTAAAAATACTTAAATTCGATACAGCCATTAAGATCTTAGAAGAATGGTTAATCATAATCATAATAATCATAATCAAAATCATTTATTCAGTTTAGGCTGTTACAAGCACATATGAATGTCTAGAAGCTACGCCATCGGTTCGTAAATCTACGGCGGGAGACCTTGTACTGAGAAGAACCGGCAAGAAACTCAGCAAGGGCTGTTTTTTTCTCCCTGTTTTATTATTTACAGAGTCGTCAAATTGAAAAATGACTTCAGAGGTGATTCATGAAGTCACTTTTCATTACATAATTATTAAATATACATTAATTGTTTACCTGCATTTTGATTGCTGTGTCATACAGTATAAATACAAATAGTGTTATTTATATTCAGTGTGACTAAACATTAACTTCAATATTAAGGAAGTTAGGGCAGACTCATCTCCGCTGGCAGCACCCGTTCACGAGCATGACGCATGAACCAGCCATCGCTTCGCTCAACCATATTTTAGGGAACGTAACGACCCGCCTCACACGACACCGCCGAAGAGACTATTATGAGAGTTTAGCTTAGCACGTCAACCAGGGTACTGGATGGTGCAAATTTGAGTCCTGTCTGATGCTTGTACCGAGTGTTTGTTTATCTATTACCGTTTTCTGTAGATTAATTCAAAAGTTGTGTTTTTTGTATGTCACCTTAGCATGAGATAGTACTTAGCAACATGGTAGTTTTAGAATTACTTCAGCTGGTATTTTCAACTATTCTGGGATTTGTGTGCAGAATTTCTTCTTTCTGATTTAAGTTAAATTCAATTTTAAAAGCCTTTAAAATTCCAGGTTACTTATGTTTTAAAATCATTTATTCAGTTTAGGTTGTTACAAGCACTTTTGAATGTCTAGAAGCTACGCCATCGGTTCGTAAATCTACGGCGGGAGACCTGAAGAACCGGCAAGAAACTCAGCAAGGGCTGTTTTTTTCTCTCCCTGTTTTATTATTTACAGAGTCGTCAAATTGAAAAATGACTTCAGAGATGATTCATGAAGTCACCTTTCATTACATTATTATTAAATATACATTAATTGTTTACCTGCATTTTGATTGCTGTGTCATACAGTATAAATACAAATAGTGTTATTTATATTAAGTGTGACTAAACATTAACTTCAATATTAAGGAAGTTAGGGCAGACTCATCTCCGCTGGCAGCTCCCGTTCACGACCATGACGCATGAACCAGCCATCGCTTCGCTCAACCATATTTTAGAGAACGTAGCGACCCGCCTCACACGACACCGCCGAAGGGACTATTAAGAGAGCATGACTACCCATACTAACCACAGCATATTTACTTAAATTAAATTAAGTAGGACACCACAAACAATTACAAAAACAAAGCAATGGAGAAATCACGACCACGCCGTTTTGTCAATCATATATTCTTAAACAGTCTGATAATCTTCCTTAAGTTATCAACTTTATATACAGCTGACAAGTTGAAACATTGAACTGACAAGTTACTAATTGGAACCAATGTAGCCATATACGCAATTACCAAAGTTGCTATCAAGTTTCAAGTTACGTTCATTGCTTGGCGCGGCTTGGTCTAGCGTCCAACATTAGCTGCTATTACTTCGATTGTTTCAAGGATGTTTACTGGTGTAGTTTGGAAGCAGCAAAACTACTACATACTATTGTTGAAATTCATAATTTTACTAAAGAAATCACATACGCTTAGTACAAATGCCGTGGAGAAGAGAATAGGTTGGTACAGTGAGCGAGCGTCGGTTAGGCAAACAATAGTGGCGCCATCTTCATAAACTCTTATGTAATTAAGTACTACATAGCAGTGGACGATAATACAGAATAAATTTATACATAATAATAAAGCACGAGTTGGTTTCTTATTTGCCATTTACTAGGTAAACATGTGTCGAAGACTTCGTCTGCGCAGAAAAAATGACCACTATTTTTACCCCTCCATCCCTTTTACAGTACGATTTCGTGAATAAATCCTATCCTTTACCCTTTCTGGGAACTCAAACTTTAGTACCACATACACAACACATCTAGCTTTACCTCGGGGTAGGGTCAGGGTAAAATTGCAATCAGTTGTAGGTATCATTTACCATGATTTTTTTTTGAAACCTGGTGCAGGTTCAGGTTTCAGCAATTACCTCTGACATAATCAGATACTTTTTATATTGTTGCATGTTACGAACCGCCAACACTGTCATCATCAGGCGGACCGCACGATAGCTTGCCACTGTTTTAACATAAAAAAAATTGCAACAGGGCGAAACCGAAAACAATCACCCGCAACGAGAGCGAAGAGATCCTGGCCAGCGTGAAGACTGGCAACTACTGGCGGAACAGCACCAAGCCAGACATCATCCCCTCCAGCTCCAGCCAGGAGTTGCACAAGGAGAATGCGGTTCTGCCGAAGGTCAGGCGCAGGTCGAGGCGAAGACCAGCAACGTCGTACGGCTTTCCGGAAATTTCGATCACTAACGACACGAAGACAATGAGGAGGTAGTTATATATTTGTTTCTTTTCTTCTCTTTATAATAATTGTATTGATAAAAATAATTAATCAGATCAATTTATAATTTGAAAGAAAAACAGCTTTCCGGGTCGTTGAACTTGCTAGCTTTCTTTCAATCTTGAATAACTTAATAGCCTCACGGAGACATATACCGTTGAAGTGATTAAAGTTGATGCTGTCATTGCATACAACAAATCCTATACTTTTTTTTATTTATTAGCTCACAAAAGAAGTTACAATTAAATATTATAAAGCAAAGCAATTACAAATATATAAAACCGAATTGTAACTCTAAATATGGGGGCATAACATGATAAAATTTTATGGACTGAAGTTTACAGAAAAGAAAAATATTTAAAATTGAATTTCAACAATTAAATAACAAAAGAACACTTAAATAAAAGTACAAATTAACTGTTTTTCTTTTTGAAGTTATACTTCTTTAGGCGCGTCATGAAAAAATGATGAGAGTGAAATTTTAAGATGCGCGCGCATCACTGTAACACAAAATTTTAACAGCATGAAGTTGGTCGCTTTAGCGACCAATTCATGCGGTTACTTTTGTGTTTACCGCACATTAAGAAAATCTACCAACAAAATAGAAATAGAATCTCTATTTAGTGGGTGCTAACGACTGCATTGTAAAGGCCTATCAAAAGTATTTATTAATCTGGAACAACGGAACCAAAGCGCGATTCAGGAGACTACAGCGCCATCTCTTGACCATTGGTGTAGTAGAACCAAAAACCACATCTTTATTTTTTGTAATAAAGTAACAATTATAGGTATTCATATTTATAATATTTATCCACATGTTTCTAGTTTGTATATTCGGAATACGTGTTTGAGTTTCATACAAGTGCAAATCACATATGTTCTAATAAATTATATTCAGTAGCGATTTTAATTGAATATTTTGATTATTTATTTATTTTTTCAAATTAAAACTGAACTTTATTGACTGTGTCCTTTTCCAGACTTTTTATTAATTTATTGTAATTAATTATTTGCATGCAATTAAAAACTAATTTTAAACGATGCCAAAGAAGGATAACTTCTCACGCGCCTACATAAGTACACGCACCCATTTTTTGTTAATGAAGTATTAATCTTTGGATTTCTTTCCGAAATTCAAGAAGCCGACTACAAAAAATGTCCAAGGAAGAATGATCACTATGCAGGTTACTGTATTGACGACACATATTTGTGATTGGATTATAAAAGGACGTGTTGTTTCTTTTTACACAAAAGTTGTAGAATACTTGTTGTGATATTCTTTCGTTTACTCTGCATATACAACGAGTATCTTTTCAAGTATAAATTCCTATTTACTTCACATATTTTGTGTATCCATATCTAGTTTGATGCAAGTATTGTATAAAATATGTTTTATACATGTAAGTGTGAACAAAAAATTCTATATTTTTTTGAAGTTATACTTCTTTAGGCGCGTTATGAAAAAATGATGAGAGTGAAATTTTAAGATGCGCGCGCATCACTGTAACACAAAATTTTAACAGCATGAAGTTGGTCGCTTTAGCGACCAACTTCATGCGTTACTTTTGTGTTTACCGCACACTAAGAAAATCTACCAACAAAATAGAAATAGAATCTCTATTTAGTGGGTGCTAACGACTGCATTGTGAAGGCCTATCAAAAGTATTTATTAATCTGGAACAACGGAACCAAAGCGCGATTCAGGAGACTACAGCGCCATCTCTTGACCATTGGTGTAGTAGAACCAAAAACCACATCTTTATTTTTTGTAATAAAGTAACAGTTATAAGTATTCATATTTATAATATCAAAAGTATTTATTAATCTGGAACAACGAAACCAAAGCGCCATTCAGGAGACTACAGCACCATCTCTTGACCATTGGTGTAGTAGAACCAAAAACCACATCTTTATTTTTTGTAATAAAGTAACAGTTATAGGTATTCATATTTATAATATTTAACCACATGTTTCTAGTTTGTATATTCGGAATACGTGTTTGAGTTTCATACAAGTGCAAATCACATATGTTCTAAGAAATTATATTCAGTAGCGATTTTAATTGAATATTTTGATTATTTATTTATTTTTTCAAATTAAAACTGAACTTTATTGACTGTGTCCTTTTCCAGACTTTTTATTAATTTATTGTAATTAATTATTTGCATGCAATTAAAAACTAATTTTAAACGATGCCAAAGAAGGATAACTTCTCACGCGCCTACATAAGTACACGCACCCATTTTTTTATATACATGTAACCTTACCTTGATGTGAACGAGGGGTTAGGATTGTGTTATGGGTAATTAGGGTTACGGTACGCAGAGAAAACTATGTCCTGATACATATAATTATATTTATCCAGAAATACAAATTCTGTGACTTAATCTTCGTACAAATGTCGTATCACACAAACATTTGCCCTACCGGAATTCGAACGCGGGACCTCTGAGTAGGCGACATCTTAAAACCTAGTTACCACTTACACTGTAACAACGGAGGTAGTCAGTCATAAAGAACAAGATACCACGTCAAATAAAACATTAAAAACAGTGGCTGCAACTTTTTAACTGCTATATTTTTAAAACGAAAGCAACTTTTACTAATAAAAAGTTTTTATTGGTGTTTGTTGACTCAATTTCAAACTACCAAGATAGTAATAGATTGTTAAAATGTTCGTTTTGATGGGAAAATACTAAAGTTACGATTGTTTTTGCGTTTACTTTGTAAAAATTTAAATAACATAGTAAGCTATTCCAGCGAGCTTATCGCCATTTACTATAAAAATACTATCTATAAGGTGTGGAATAAGAGAAAGCGATCGTGCGGACAAAATACCTATGTGAACTAATAACCGCACAATCGCTTCATCTCTCTCTGATCTTTCTGTTCGTATTTACCTTACAGATGGATGATTGATGGAAGAATGCTCAGTCCCTTATCTCTATGAATAAATACTATACATTTCGGCAAACTTTAATTTGTGGACATTGGTGTGGGTTGTAAACTGATCTAATTAATATTTACATTATAAATTTTAGTAATATGTAGTGTATAACAGTTCTTTGTCTATGTTGACGGTTTGTACGCCGGGTTTTATGGAGTCGAGAGGTCCCGATTTCAAATCCCGGTGGGGGCAGATGTTTGTGTGATGAATACGAGCATTTGTACTCCAGTCATGGATGTTTAATATGCATTTTTTTAATAATCTAATATATAAAAATAAGTCGGGTTTTCCTTCCTGACGCTATAATTCCAGAACGCACGAACCGATTTCCACGGTTTTGCATTCGTTGGAAAGGTCTCGGGCTCCGTGAGGTTTATAGCAAAGAAAATTCAGGAAAAAAAAATCGTTTTCTTTTAATCACAAAACGAAATGTTACATAAAACGAAGCTATCTGGTGGCGAAACGGAGTTCGCTGGGTTTGCTAGTATACTTATATATGTACAGTACCTATATGTATTCTGTCCGTTACCCTAGTAGTCATAGTCATAATATTTATTGTATCCCATAACACAAGCCTTATAGTGCTTACTTTGGGGCTAGGCTAATTGGTGTGAGTGTTGGAAATATTTATTTATTTATGTGCTCAATTGTCTAAATAAATAATTAAACTTGTTAAAGCAATTTTACAAATAAAACTGTTTACTGTGTAAGTTTTTTCGTTTGTGGTTTTACTCAGGAAGTTTTGTCGCTACCAATACACTTCTTTTCATCTGTTGTTCAAGAAGTACCATACCCTGAAGAGTCTCGTGTACATCGCTTAGGTAGAGTTTGTCGCTACCAATACATTTATTTTTATCTCTTGTTCAGGAAGTACTATACTCCGTAGTTAGAGTCTAGTGTACACCAAAGAGGTAGAGTTTGTCGCTACCAATATACTTCTTTTTATCTATTGTTCAGGAAGTACCTTACCCTGAATAGTCTCGTGTACACCGAAGTGGTAGTTTGTTGCTACCAATACACTTCTTTTTATTTGTTGTTCATGAAGTACCATACCCTGAAGTGTCTCGTGTATATCACAAAGGCTGAGTTAATCTCTACCAATACACTTATTTTTATCTGTTGTTGAGGAAGTACCATACCTTGAAGAGTCTCGTGTACATCGCAAAGGTAGAGTTTGTCGCTACCAATACACTTCTTTTTATCTGTTGTTCAAGAAGTACCATACCCTGAAGAGTCTCGTGTACATCGCAAAGGTAGAGTGTGTCACTACCAATAAATTTATTTTTATCTGTTGTTCAGGAAGTACTATACTCCGTAGGTAGAGTCTAGAGTACACCGAAGAGGTAGAGTTTGTCGCTACCAATATACTTCTTTTTATCTGTTGTTCAGGAAGTAAAGGTACTTCCTGAACAACAGATAAAAAAAAGTAGACTCTTCAGGGTAAGGACCCTGAAGAGTTTCGTGTACACCGAAGAGGTAGTTTGTTGTTACCAATACACTTCTTTTTATTTGTTGTTCAGGAAGTACCACACCCTGAAGAGTCTCGTGTATACCGAAGAGGCAGAGAGCGTGAAGCAGCTGAGAGAGCGACCGCGATCTGCCGGCTCCACCGTCAGGAACAAGGAAATGCTTACTAGGCCCAGCATTCTGGAGACCCTGGACTTCATCAACAGTGTAAAGGATGCTTTGTGTGGTAAGTGAGCTTTAACGGAACTTTTGGAAGCATTGCGTCTAGCAAGATAAGTTTAATAAGAAGAAATCTTCCTTCTTACAACCTGGGATTCTTTATAAGAGGCGTGAAGAAGCAACATACAGGCCGGCAAGGTGAGGATGGCTGATGTAGTAAGCAGAGCTTCTGTACCAGCAATTTTCACGTCTGGACTTCGCACATAACATCAGGTGGGTTGGAGTCATTTGTCGGACATATCTATAAAAAACAAACAAAATTATGACGCTGGAAAGATTGTCCGTTTAGCTTATTATTCTCGAGGGAGCGGAGTCTTCTAGTGGAGTTCTGTACATAATTAGGAAACGCCGTTACTATTAAAAAATATCATTTTGAGCTCCTCCGTGCTACGGAAGTCACGTTTAGTCTTTGGATAACTTTGTAGTCATTTGCACACATCTGTAGTCATTAGCACCCTCCAGTTATACAGGGTGTTACAAAAATTCAAATAAAGCTTGAAGGTCGTTGAAGTACATCATATAAGGAGTCTTCTCTAATTTTCTTAAAATATTTGCATGAATTTGTAACATTTTATAAAAACAGTTGTTTTTGATGATACTCGAACTAGTGACGTGTCTGAAAATGAACGATATTTTTATTAATCATTAAAAATAACTGTTTTTATAAAAAGTTAAAACTTCATGCAAATATTTTAAGAAAATTAGAGAAGACTCCTTATGTAATCATGTACTTCAAAGCCCTTCAAGTTTTATTTGTATTTTTGTAACACTCTGTATAGCTCGTTTTCCCTATTCCACCCACAAGGAAGACCTGTGCTGCAGTAGTAGGGACATTAGAAGCTTGATTGTAAGAATAAGTATTCAGTTAATTAATCATTTTTAGCGGTTTCTAGTCTGTTATCGCGCAAGTGCAAAGGTTGTTCAGCCAATACCTGCCCAAGTATTTATGATCTCGGTTTTTTGCGTTACAACGAGTAAAAATGTACTAATGTCTTCAACGAGTACGTAAAGGTCCTAACACCCTATCGGGGGAGGCTGGTGTGCTTTGCAATATGGTAGTAAATAATATGTGTAATAATAAAGCTATTTTAAGAAAATTGTAAGGTAAGGTGTCGATGGGGCTGGTATGGACAATTTGGTCCAAAACTCCCCTTGAAAAAATCGACAAGAGTACGCAAAGGTTTTTATCGAAGTAATATATAAGCAGCCGGGTTTATTGATTTTTTTTAATTTACCTTTTTTATTTCACACTTTTTAGTTAGGATTATAAGACGGTATATACCGCGGTCTTGCACTTCAGTAAGGGAGTTAGTATCGCGGGTATTATAAAGTACCTTGCGGTGGTCTAAACGATTGATTTATTGAGACATATAGATGCATTTTTTTTTCTAAATGGCTTCGCACGGCTTGTGCATTAAGCCAGTGATAAGTGTTAAAATGTTTAAAAATTCTATAGCACTCGTGGTCAAAGTAATAAATCAAGTCAAAGTAAGTGGCAGTCAAGTCGAACCCCCTTTCCCTATGTTTCAGTAAATGTGTGGGGATTTACTGGAACCTCCCCGTGGACTTGTTGAGGAAACGTCGAAAGACACTTTCCGCTATTTTGTTTCACTTGCCAACACTTGTGCATGTTCCCGAACACTTAGTGGTTAATAATCCACCATTATTAGACACTAACATCCGCCACAACACAATAGGGATGATGACTAATTTTTTTTTCTTCGTTTATAAGGTAGATTATCAAAAAGTATTGGACGCGTATTTTTTCTTTTTGACGTGACAACGTCTTAAATTAGGTTGCGGCTGGGAGTCACTTATGAAAAAGTGTAACGCTCGGTAACGTTACGATGAGTCTCTCGTGTTAAGTTTAAGTTTACATGTACAATGTTTTAGTAAACAAAATATATTTCTATAGTTAAAATTTGTGCAATTCTTATTTTCATTCAATTCCTTGTTCCTATTGTGCAATTTAATTATATTCATATCAATAAATATTCTACCGAGAAAAAGACGTTGTCACGTAAAATCTTCGCCCGTAAAACCGACTTTACAGGCAACCATTTTTTCATTTAATATAAACATTGCAGAGATATATTGATTTGAAAAGTCGCATGACGTCACGTTTGAGTACACTTATAAGTGAAAATTCACTCAAAAGTGACGTCACGAGCCCATACCCCCAAACTTTAACGCGCTCTAACTATGTCATTTTTTGTTTGATTGCCCAAAGAAAAAATACGTGTCCATTATTTTTTGATCATCTAACTGACGGACTGAATAGAATTTCGTTTACTGTACCCCATCATCACCCCTATTGTTAACAAGAAAAACAAAACTGCTAATGTGACGCTTCCCGATCCCGCTAAAAAGTCCTGTAGGTGTAAATTGCTGATTTTGTGGCAGTGGAGGAGTCAGGGGCGTCGGACTTGGAGGAGTCGGGCTGGGGCCCCGTGGAGGAGTGGGCGGCGGGGCGCGCGGGCCCTCTGAGCGCGCTGGCGGCGCCGCGCCTCGCCGCCCTGCACCTGGTGCTGGGGGACCTGCCGCCTGCCCTGCTGCGCCGCGGCCGCGTCACAGTGCGTATACTCTCGACCAATACAACCCACTAGCTGTTCTTACAATTTCGTCGGCGTAGATAATAATAAATAATAATAATAAATATTTCCAACACTCACACCAATTAGCCTAGTCCCAAAGTAAGCACTATAAGGCTTATTTGTTTCTTAGGTTTTCACGCACATCACTCATTAAATAAAACTAGTTTTTACGGGTTAATGCACGAAATTAACTATAAGGCTTGTGTTATGGGATGCTAGGGTAACGGATAGAATACATATACTGTACATATATAAGTATGTTTATATAGAAATACATATTAAACATCCATGACTGGGGTACAAATGCTCGTATTCATCACACAAACATCTGCCCCCACCGGGATTCGAATCCGGGACCTCTCGAGTCGGCGACACCATGAAACCCGGCGTACAAACCACTCGGCCACGGAGGTCGTCAGATGTCGAGAAGGGCACGAAACGAAAGCTTTAAAATAAGTTATTATTGCAACTTGTTTCATTGATGATCCTAGCTAGAGCTTTCCTTGATTAACAAACTATATCGACCTCATCATCAGCCTATTAATGTCCCCACTGCTGGGGCACAGGCCTTGTCTATGAATGGAATAGGGAGATTGGACCATGACCCACCACGCGGGCCCTGGGTGCTAACGACTGCAGATGCAGCCGGGACCAACGGCTTAACGTGCCTTCCGAAGCACGGAGGAGCTCTAGATAATAAATTTTTGGTCACCCATCCGATGACCGACCACTGCGAAAGTTGCTTAACTTCAACGATCGCAGCCGAATGCGCTAACCAATTGCGCCATCGAGCTCCTCATATATCGACCTATCTATATATATAAAAAAGCGATCCAGTTTTTTCCTGAGATTAGTGTGTTCGACCAAAAAACAAACAAAATTTTCAGCTCCACATATATTTTTGCAGATACTGCAGGAGTTGTGTTGTTACCTGGGCGACGCGAGTGAGGGTGCGCTGTTTGCCCTCCACAGGCTCGCCAGAGCTGCGAGGTCAAGGAGCAGCGAAAGGGTCGCTAAGTAAGTTTCATAAATTAAATATGTACTAGCAAACCAGTGAACCAAATGTTCACCAAAACCTGATTTAAAAAAAAATGTATTTAATTAATTGAGAACTTCAGAGATTTTGTGTGGTTTCGTTTGAAATTCGTGATTTCTCGAAAACCGGAAGTGCTACGTTACTCAAATCCGGTTTGTAGTCTTATCAGACTATTCTTAACTTATAACTTAAATATTCTCTTTATCTATCTCTTACGGTTTGGCCGCTGAAACAGCACCACGGACAGACGGACTCGTCTAATACATAAGAGATTGTTTATGCTACGTGAGTAATTTTCTTGCTGAGTAAATGTTTTATTTTTAATTTATTTAATAAGGAACAAACAGTCATACATAATATCATATGAACAATTTCATCGTAACAAACTGACCTAACAGTTCCATAACATATGACCTAACTTATATAATAATGAACTTAATAGAAGTGTAATAACACCATAATTTAGAAAAGAAATTCAGTACAACTTTTGAGCCAAATGGTATAATGCAATAAACGAAGGGACAAAACTCCAATCTGCAGTTTTAATCACCAACACAGGTGCTGGTCTCTGACTCAACAGACTAATACTCTGACCCCTCGCTCGTCGCATTACATGTTCGCCCACCAATTTTTTATACATATTCAAAGATAGGAAAAACACATTAGCATCTCCCAAAAAAACATTGTAGTACCTACAAGCCCGCCGCATTAACGTATTTCCAACATAATTAGTATAAGAAGGTGAAATATAAAATATAGATTTAGAACGTGAGGAGGTTCGTGGTATTTTAAAGAACTTCCAAGTTCATGTACCTTAATATTTTAAAACTATCTACACACTGTACTCTTTTCCACCGTTTGTTTGCAGTGCAAGCTGTACATCTATGGTAATCTCGTCCGGTTTCGATATGACGTGCGGAAACTATTTATGCATTTAAAAACCTTGTGAATTCCCACTATCTCTGACATTGTAATACTTTTATTTTTAATATCTCATGACTGTACTTACAACTAACTCTTAAGTATACTGGATCAATGTCTGTATTTGTATTTATACTTATTGTATGTATATATATTTATGCATGTAAATATATCTTATATGTGTATGGTGTATATATGTATTTATTAATATATTTTATTAGCGATTTACACCGCCGTCTCTCCCACTTCCTTCTAATGCTCTGCATCCAATGGTTGCTTGGAGATCGCTTTAAGCGATAAGGCCGCCCATTGTATCACTTTTACTAGATGGTTTTGTGCTTAATGTTCTATGTTTTTGACGACCTCCAGGGCCGAGTGGTTTATACGCCGGGTTTCATGGTGGCCGACTCGAGAGGTTCCGGGTTCGAATCCCGGTGGGGGCAGATGTTTGTGTGATGAATACGAGCATTTGTACTCCAGTCATGGATGTTTAACATGTTTTTCTATATAAATATACTTATATATGTACAGTATATGTATTCTGTCCGTTACCCTAGTATCCCATAACACAAGCCTTATAGTGCGTAGCTTGGGGCTAGGCTAATTGGTGTGAGTGTTGGAAATATTTATTATTATTTATTTATTATAATATATGTTATGTGTACGGTGTATATAAGTATTTATTAATATATTTTATATTTTTCTAGCGATTTACACTGCCGTCTCTCCCGCTTCCTTCTATTCCTGTCCATCCAAAGGTTGCCTGGAGATCGCTTTAAGCGATAAGGCCGCCCATTGCATCACTTGTAGTAGATAGTTTTGTGCTTAATGTTCCATGTTTTTGTATTGTATTGTATTGGTACATCACTAATTATTTATTTAAGGACAACCAACAAGAATATCCACACATAGTATAGTATAACAATAGTGTATAAGTGATAATTCAAGTGGTACCTTAATTATAGGCTGCCATGGCATGCATTTGTGACAACAATGACAAAGTGTGCATTCTTAACAAAATTACTACTACTATCTCTCGTATGTAGGATACATTCCTAATACGTAGAATAAAATTTTCTGATATTTATTGTATGGAAAATGTAAGTATGAGTCTCATCCGCAACAATGAAAATGTCTGGTGCACTGAAATGAAAGTTTATTTGGATGAAACATACGTTTGTTATAGCTGGTAAATAATATAAAAAGTTCCATATGTTTCGCCCTTGAAAGAGCATACAAAACACTAATAAATCTTAATATATATAAATCTCGTGTCACAATGTTTGTCCTCAATGGACTCCTAAACCACTGAACCGATTATAATAAAATTCGCACACCATGTGCAGTTCGATCCAACTTGAGAGATAGGATAGTTTAAATCTCAAATTATAGTCGCAATTTTAATTTATTGCAAATTATTACTTTTGGGCGGTACGAAGTTCGCCGAGTCAGCTAGTTATCTATAAAAACCAAATTTAAATTGAGTATTAGTTGCATTCCAAATGTCATAATAACTATACATTATATTACACATAATAATCATACAATACATGTCAATTTTTTTAAGTCAATAGCCATTTCTTCATTATGTCAACAAAATTACAATTATGATTTCATAATAAAAATTCATTTGTACTATAAAAACATTTACACACTATCAGTTCTTGGAAGTTGCCCGAGCCGGAGGGGGCCCCTATAGAAGCGGGGCAGCGGTACCGCGCGCGGCCCCCCGACTACGTGTCCGGGGACGAGGGCCCCGCGCGCGCCCCGCCCCCCGCCCTGCCGCCGCCCCCGCCCCCGCCTTCACCGCCGCCCCGACGCAGTAGCAGGACTAAACAAGTAAGCACTCCAGAACTCATGGACATAAATAAATAAATAAATATTACCAACACTCACACCAATTAGCCTAGCCCCAAAGTAAGCACTGTAAGGCTTGTGTTATGGGATACTAGGGTAATGGATAGTCGTCAAAGACGTCCATTAGACACTATATCTAATAATATATAAAATTCTCGTGTCACGGTGTGCGTAATTAAACTACTCCGAAACGGCTCGACCGATTTTCGTGAAATTTTATATGCTTATTTTAAATAGTAGGTCTTAGAATCGAACAACATCTATTTATTATCCCCCTAAATGTTAAGGGTCCACCCTAATTTTTTTTGGACATTTTTTTTTTAATTTTTTTTTATCATCATCATACAAAAATACATACAACCCTAAATTTTCATCCTTCTACTACGAACCCCTATTTTTATGGCGGTACGAAGTTCGCTGGAACAGCTAGTTTTATTATAGTATTTACTAAAGAATGGACAGCGGAACATTCACATAGAAAAACAACTGTGACTTGCTGCCTTCCCTAATTCCACTATCACCCCCCCCCCCCCCCCCCCCCGCAGCAGGACTAAGCAAGTAAGCACTGGACAACTCATGTACCTAACGCTGCATTTTCAAAGAAGCGGAGATTAGCAGGGTTTTAAAGAAATTGATAATGGCATAGCTCAAAAACCATTGTATTATGTAACTTCACTGATCAATTTCTTTAAGACTCTACCCAGCTTCACACAGCTTCAAGAGTGGTCTGTGAAACTAGCATTAAATTGACAACTGCACCCCGTCTCCATAAGCAAGGAAGCACTGGGGCACATTTTTATGTCTGAAAAAGAGGTGAAGCTCGTCTCGTCACCGGGGGTTGCAACAAGGACAGCTGAGGACACTTCCCCTAGCCCTAAAGCTAGGTAATGATAATTTTTTTAGCGGTTATCCCCAATTTGTGTCAGGTCTTTTTTATCTTTGTTGTTTTGTTTGTTACTTATAATATATTTTTATTCATCATGCCTTCTCTTTTGCATGTTTTAAGTGCTTATTCTTTTGCACATCTTTCTTTCTTTTTCTCTTTTATACTTTTACAATTTTTCTTAATTTCTAATACATATCTTTTGCTTTCCTGTTTGTCCTATTTACATTTCAAAATTTATTCTATATATATATTACACACACTTATTTTCTGTTATTATACATATTTCTTATATGCTACAATTTGTTATTTACATATATTTCTTAACACTACTTTACATTGTTTTGCCCATTAGGTTTTCTGCTTAAATCTAGTATTTACAGTGTGTAATATAAATTGGTACATCTCTATGCTAATCATCTTTATTTCTTACAATTACTCTTTCCACTATACTTTTACTGAACCTGATGAATGTATCTCTATCTCTTTGGTTTCTTATAATCTCCTTAAGGTTAGCCTTACTAAGTTGTGTGTCTAGTGCTGTTTGTGCGTCGTGCCTTTCTCCGTTGTATAGGGGGCATTCTAAGAGGACATGGAAAATGTCCTTCGGTGTCTTCGGTGTCGGTAGCTTTAGGGCTAGGGGACACACCACGCTGCCCCAGTGCAGTTTAAAGGGTGTGAGTATTGCGGCAATCTACCCTGAAGGGACAGATCCTGGGGGCGTAGTTTTATCAAATGGAAAACAATTTATATATTTAACTCTTTTATTTTATTAGAAATCAGCGAATATAATAATTGAGCTTAATCTATCAACGTATGGTTTGGTGCCTGAAGTCTATCTCTTGGAACCTTCTATCAAACGACAGAAGATTTCCAATTTCAAATCTTTAAAAATCATGACATTACCTTTTTAATATAACTGCCAGCCGTAGGCATTACATGAACAAAGAGTTTACCCAAACAAGAAGGCTGTAACGCAACGGACGTTACAGTACCCTCTAAGGGTTTATCTGAGTTATCCGATTTAAAAAATAATGAATAGAATAACATGGAGCCTCAGACGAGGTTTTAACACTTTTTATTAGAAATAGCTTTTGTACTGTAGTTTCAGAGATATTCGGTTGAGTTTTATTACGTCTAATAGTTTCAATCAATTTGTATAAATAAAATCACATCACGAGGAGGTGGACAGAACTCTAACAACGAAGGGGTTCCTAATAATTTCGCTTATTATTGTAAGATGAAAGATTCCGAGATGTTGCAGTTTGACATATAAAAATTTACAAAAGCTTTAACAACGATGTGTACCATACGTTTAAAGATTAAAATATCTTTCTTTCAGCAAAGTAACTCAATTTACAATGTAAAGTGGCAAATTTATTCTTTAATCTTAAAATATAGATATATACGGAAGCGTCTGAGGATTTCGCACTTATAAAATCGTTATAATTTATGTGACCATTGCAGATACCTCATTACACCGACTTCAACCCACCGAAACGCTTTCAACAGCAAGAGAATCAACTCAACTACCTGGAGCCTAACAAGCTGCCTATGACGAACAAGCAACTGGAATACACCGGTATCATCAATCCTATATACGACATCAAATTCCCAAGAGACAAGTTCAAAGTCAAGAGATCCAAGTCTTTGGGTAGAAGCTTTAGCTCAAAGAATCTTGGGCTGGAGATAACTAGGTGAACACATAATTATAATAAATTCCAGGGATTTTGTTCCAAGCCTGTTTAATTACCACTCTAAAGGGTAAATAAATATTTCTAACACTTACACCAATTGGCCTAGCCCCAAAAGTATACATATAAACATCCATAACTTAGAGTACATGTGTTCGAATCCGAGCCTTCTGAGTAGGTGACACCTTGAAACTTGGCGAAACTTGATTAAAATAGAAAATCCAAAGATTTAAAAAAAAAATAAGTACTTGCATATCATACATATACCTTTTATGGTAGTATTTAAATTTGTGTGCCTTTACTATTAAATATACTGTTATCACTTTGGATTGCACAAGGATGTTATCTGGGTCCCCTTTTGTACCCCTTTTAAAATAACTATTTATTTTTATATTGTTGTTTATATTTTTAAATGATTATAGGTATAATTTAACTTTGGGGCCCAAAAGCGGGAAGAAGACGAACGATGTGGTGACTGCAATAACTGGGATGACAGGGGAGACAGGCTTGGAGCCAAAGAGCAATTTCTTCCAGAGATATACCACCGCTGAAGTAGTCGGGGATTCTTACAAGATCAGTAGGATTACTATTGATTAAAACAAAAATCGCATAGAGATCAATTTTATTATGAAAGAATAAAAGTTGTAAGTTAAAATGATCTTGCCATTTCTATAAATTTTTGCCATGTTTAATGGGTTTTCCAAAAACTGATGTTACTGTTAAAATGTTAAAGAATTTAGAAAAGCTGAAGTAGACTTTATCAAGATTGTTATGTTTGCCGTGAAGTTTATTATTTTGGAGTAAATTAATAAAGCTAAATATTACTGTTTTGTAGTACTTATGGATCTATGTGGATATTTAACCAAATTTATGAACAAAAAATTAAAATTTAATGAAACATTTTGAAGTTTTATTGAACGCTTTCCTTGAATGTTTACAGAAGTCATGTGTATTAATTAGTAAGTAAAAACTTGTACGTATATACCACTAAAGCGTATCCTTAGCGCGAACATTTTTCTTTATGAACTGAAGAGAAATTCACCAAAAAATAAAACACAAATTGAATTTTCTTTCTTTCTATTTATTCCTCCTTCCTTTTAATTTATTATTAATTTCCTAGACAAGATCGTTTACAAAGCTTTTAAAACTTTCACCCCGAGTCAACGATGGAAGAATATCGGTTTCTACGTAACAAAGTCAATTGCTGAGTGGTTTCAGGGGGCGATCATAAAACGCAACTTGATATCGCGAATCGAGTCGACATCCTATTACAAAGTGTTCAGAGGTTAATACTGTTTTTAAGGTTTCGTACATCGATAGGAAAAAAAGAAACCCTTATAGGATCACTTTGTTGTCCGTTCGTCCGTCTGTCAAGACCCTTTTCTCAGGAACGCGTGGAGGTATCAACTTGAAATTTATATTAAATACTCAAGTCTACTGTCCCTTGGAGCAGAGAAAAAATAAAACTAGTAAGCCAACGCAATCAAAAGAAACAGCCGTTTATGCCGCAAATATCCGCAAATTTTCGAAACTCGCACGGGAATAAAAACCTACAGGGTACTTCCCGTGAACTCACAATCTTGAAATTTGTTAAGATGCAACGTCTTATAGCACAGATAAGGGAAAAATTGCGAAAACCGTATATTTTTTAGTTAAATCACATTTTGATGTGAAACATCTATAGGACGTCAAACCGATTTCTGGCGTGGCGAATCATGCCATGGCGACACGTCGCTACGCTATATGATGGTATATATACAGTCTATATGCAGTAGAGTGTACGGTGTAGCGTCGCGTGGCCATGCGCAATCGAATTCGATTTTTGTATTTAATGAAAATAAATGTTTATTAAATAAACAGTCATCGTAATCGTAATATTTTGTTTTATCATTATTGTAGGGATGGGCGTTTTTAGAATAACGATGCGCGATAACGATGCCAGGTTCGGATGTGCGCATCCGATGCGACTGGATGCCGATGCCATCTAGTTTTTGTCAATGCAAAAAATGCTATGGATAAATTGTAGTTCCAATTTTTGCCACCGCCACAGAAAAGTTTGTGGCACTGTTGCTATAGTAACGTTGATAAAAACTAGATGGCATCAGCATCCAATAACGGCATCCAGTCGTATCGGATACGCGCATCCAAACCTGTCAACTTGCCTGCGTTCAAAATCTACGCTCTGAGTGTATATTTTTATGTAATAATTTTGCCAGCATTCAATATTTTCAGATAACATGCCGAAAAGTAAATAAATGGTTTTCGATTACATTTTCAAGTCCTGATTCAGGGAATCGAAGAGACACACCCACACAAATCACGCATCTGTACAATTCATATTGCATCGTATCCTGTGATACTACTATATCGACATTCAGTTGACATCGATGCGATGCCGGCATCGATGCGGGCATCCGATGCAATTTATCTGATACCGATGCGCATCGATTTTAAAAATATCTAAAAACGCCCATCTCTATCATTATGCCATATTTAGTTCCTATCGCAATCTGTTCTTTTCTGCATATTACTTATACAAAATAATGTCGATGTTCCACATCTGCCAGGCGTCCCGTTTGGCTTGGTAGGTTTGTATGGAACCCTTGGTGTACGAGTCTGACTAGCACTTGGCCGGTTTTGACATTTTCTTAGAATAATGTATAATGGGGACATGCATCACACGGCGAGCGCGTGCATGAAAAAAAGGTTAATTTTAAAAATAAAAGAACCTGACTGCTTAAATATTACTTCAATAAAAACTGAAAAGTAGAAAAAGAATTCTGTTAAGTAAAGAACAAAGCTACTATAACAGTCGGGACCCATTATAGAAAATAATTGATCCATTCTTGAATATCTAATGGGTCTCGACTGTTAAAGTAGCTATGTTCCATCGAATGGTCTCAACCACTCGTTGGACTCAAGCGATTCAAAAATACGGAATTTACTATGTCGGATAAAAATAAGTAGAAAATGGTATCGATTCTGACATGATTCTCTAAACCTAAACTTAAATTTGACAACAGTGCATCCTTGTCATTCTCTATACAGAATGAAAAGGTAAGACTGGTGTTAAATTTGGTTTTAAGTTTAGACAATCACGCCAGAATCGGCACCATTGAGTGTTCTACGCAAGGAGCGTGATTCCAAAATAGTGCCCCAGCGCTGACGAATCCGGCCTCGTGGCCTCGCACATTCTGTAATCTGTCACTTGCACCAAGGCAATGTAGCAAACATATTTTTTTAAATTATACCTCTATAAGTCACACAACACAGGAATTCCTGTAAATTCGTTTTGTAATAAAGAAAAGTAAGTAAGTACCTACGTAGATTTTAGAAAACTTTAGAAATGGTTGGACAGTAAAACTTGAACTTTTTCCGAAATATTATGATAGGGGGGCCAATCGCCTAATGCGATTGTTATTGATATTGAGGTTTCTAATATCATTTTTTTCCGAACTGGACTTCCTCTTCTTTCTTCTTCTTCCATTCTTTCACTTCTTCCACTTCCAAAGTGGTAAATGTGTGTCCTGTAACTTCTATAATAAGAGACTGATAAAACTAAAAAAAATATATGATGTTCATACATTACTATGCAAACTTCCACCGAAAATTGGTTTGAACGAGATCTAGTAAGCAGTTTTTTTAATACGTCATAAATCACAAATCAATAAAAAAAACACTATTATTAAAACATCGATCAAAGTTACAACGAACTACAAGAACTTTTATATTATATTACTTGCTGCTATGGGACCCTTCATGGGTAGGGTTACTATTTAAAAATTGGAAAAGTCCTGCCAAAAAGCGGGACATTTCGATAAAAGTCTGGACATTTTAGTCATAAAATGCACCCACTTAGTTATAGTGATATTATATTATAGTGATATATTACACGTGGTAGCAGACGCTCGCATCGCGAGGGGGGTCTCGTTGTTGATTTTTAAAGATAATTTATAGTTTGTATTAAATTAATGAGAACTTAATAAAAACTATTTGACTTTATTATAACTATTAACGGGATTGTTACCATGTACCTTGTTTTATATGAGTCTCCGATATTTCAGTTACTCCGTGATCATGGCGCTTGCAACAGTGCCGAAATATCGGAGACTCATAGAAAACAAGGTACATGGTAACAATCCCGTTAATAGTTACAATGCTAGTGACCATGAAAGTTTAAAACAATATATAACTATTTGACTTATTTGATATAACTTAATAAGTAGTTTCACTCATATTCCATGTAATTAAAAAAATCGGGACAAATTAAAAAGCCAAACAAAGTCCGGACAGAAGGCAAAAAGTCCGAACATGTCCGGACAAATTCGAGCGGATGGTTACCCTATTCATGGGCACCCTACTCGTGGTTAATAAAAAATCTCTCTCTCTCTCTCTCGCTCTATTAGCTATATTAAAAAAATGTGTATAAACCGACCCAACTCTACGCGCTTATAATGCGCTCTTCCCCGAAACAATTTACGTGTTTTCAATTGCCCTCTGGCCAGGGTATATACGTACAAGATCAGCGGATTTGTTAAATTGATTGATGAGCCCCGATGGTACGAGTTTTAAGTGGTTCACACTAACTTTTAAATTGGCGTACGGCGATGAGATCCGTCGTTCAATTCGCGTAACTCAACGAGCGACTAGCGTTTGGTTTGGTGCGACGTAAGCTGGTCCGGTCTACCTATACATACAATACACCTGCTGGTTTACAATGAACGTTGGCGCAAAGGTTACTCGCATTACTTCTAGAAGTAACTAACAATAAAAAATTATGTGTGTCAGCTCCGACGCACGACTGGAGTTTACTCCTTAAGTTCGATAGTCTAACCAGACGCAAAAAGAGTTTATTTAACTTAAAAAAGATTGATACTGAATGAAATTTAATCCTGCTTATGCCATTGAGTAACTCGAATGACAAAAATCATTTGAGTACCAATGAAGATAAAAATCGAGTGATTTTCTACCATATTTATGTCTCTTACCGGTACATTGCAATTTACTATTTATATAATCTGATAAAAATCCGAATTTACTTTCAGCGAACATCACGAGTTTAATATCGATTAATCAATTAAGTTTATTAATACCTGACAACATTATACCCATCGAGAAATACGTCACCAACCAAGCCATAAATATAAAAAAAAATATGTCAAGCGGAAATTGGGCAAATATCTAATTAATTATAACTTAATACCCAGGGTGAAAAAAATTACGATATAAATGTCACCAGCATCAAAATATAAATTCGATTTTTAGGTACATATTTGAATGAGGCACAAGAAACCTCAAAAGGGGCCCATGATTGGGCATTCTCCTTTATCTTAAAAATACCGCATCAATGGTCGTACCATACCTCGTTGTCCCCATTGCTCTATCAGAAACAATATCTAAATTCAGTTCAGATTTTAAAAAAAATATTAATGTCAATCCGTCATTTGTCAAAGTTGCGCGACATAGGATGCGCACCAAAAACGTAACGAGGTCATCCATCGATAGATTTTACTCCTCACATTTTTCTCATACCGGGCCCCTTATATATGCAAATCGATTCTTAAGGAGTAAACACCAAAAACGATAGCGTATAGTTATAAAGAACCGGTCAAGTGCGAGTCGGAATCTCCAATCAAGGGTTCGATACAATTTTGTAGGCACGCAGCATGAATGAAATCACATCTTATTTCTGTGTTCATTGAGAAGTTTGATTTTTTTCACAGCTTTAAAGAAAGAAAAGAAAGAAAGAAAATCATTTATTGGTTACACAGCATAGGTAGGTACATTAAAACAAAACAGAAGATAAAAAAAAAATAACATAACCACAAATAAAAACAAGAAAACTAATATCAGGTGCTGCTGTGCAGGGCAGGTGCTGTGTACGAACTACAAAATGCG